TAAGGCCCATAGCACCACACCCTAGGCCCTTAGGGGATCAGACTCATTTATGGTTTCCACTCTGCTGCAAAATTTGGTACCTTCATCCCTCACTACAAAATCCAGAAGTCTCACCTTTCATGAAGTAGTGCAGGCATGCTTTTTTGCCAGGTACCACAAAGCAGAGAAAATGTACTCTTTTTAAATGCTCATCTTGTACCAGGGACCAGCTCAGTGGACTAAGTGCCTGCTTAGGCAAGGGCAAAGACCAGTGTTCTATCCCTGGCACCACATGCTGCACCTGCTCTGCCCCCCAACACACTGAGAGGGCTGCTGAGACCAGGCATGGTGGCACACACCTATGATCCCAGCACTGGAGAATTTGAAAACATTAGGATCACTATGACTCTAAGCTGCGTAGTGAGACCCTATACAAAAAGTGAAATTAAATAAGTGCCTACCTTTAATGAGATTCAGCTGACAAAATTGTAACTATTTAAAGTGTAACATCGGATCTATCATACTTTAAATAAATGTATATGAATTATATGTAATGTATATGTGAATTGTTAGCATAATCATTTAACACATGCATCATCTCACATAATTAACATCTTTTGTTACTGTTAAGAAGCACAAGCTTAAGTACTGCTTGATTTCCCTTATATAAGAAGCTCAAAATATAAATGAAGAGCAAAGAAAAAAATAGATAATGAGAAATAGAGGAATAGATCTTTTGTAAAAGAAAAGGAAATAGGGCTGGGGAGATGGCTCAGTGGAATAAGTGCTTCCCTGGAAAGCGCAAGGGCCTGAGTTCAATCCCCGGTTCTGAAAAAAAAAAAAAGGAAATCAAGAGGTAGAGCGAAGGTGGAAAACAGGGACAGATGACGAAAAGTATTGAGAAGTGCCATCAACATGCACCAACTCTGCCCAAGGTGTGTATTCATGATGTACTGCAAACATGGACTAAGAAGAAATAGACATTTTAAAAAATAATGCTTCACTGCCTCTTTTTTTTTAATTTTATTTATTTGTGTGTGTGTGTATGTGTGTGTGTGTGTGTGTGTGTGTGTGTGTGTGGCCAGCTCAGCCCACCAGGGGGCGGGGCTGGCTGGCATGTGGTGCTGGGGGATTGAACCACGGTCCCTGTGCTTTGCTAAGCTTGCTCTAAGTAGGTGCTTTAGACCACTGAGCCATCTCACCAGCCCCCTTCACTGCCTCTTGCAGCAAATTTCAAGTATGCAATGTAATGTTAGCAGTAATCATATTAGGCATCAGATGTTCAAAGCTTTCTGTCTTGTAGTGAAAACTTTTGTTCTTTCACCAAACTACAATAGTATGTTCTGTTTCTATGAAGGTTTTAAAATTTAACTTAATATTATGTGACACTGTACACTACTATGTTTTCTGACCGTCTCGCATCTTTCACTTGTCATAATATCATCAAGGTTCACTGATGTCCTAAAAAAGTTAGAATTTCTCTCTCTTCCACATCATCAATAAGCCACTGTGGATGCACGTGAACAGTAACATTGTTCCTGTAATTTGGCTTTTGAGAATAGTGCAACAATAAGTGGGAGAGTGTAGATAACTTTTCAACATTTAATCTCTCTTGGATACTTACCCAGGTCTAGATTGCTGACTTATATGAGAGTTCTGTAGCTCTTTTTGTTTTTTGAGGAACCTCTATACTGCTTCGCACATTGACTGTGCCAATTTATATTCCTACCAATAACTGTAACACTCAGATACTTCTTTCCACATCCATTCTGTCTTACCACTTGACGTTTGGCCAGAGTCCTCCTAGTGAGAGTGAGATGCTATCTCACTGTGGTTCTGATGTGCACTTTCTGATGGCTGGCATTCTTGGACCTACTTCCATGCATCTGTGAGCCTCTGTATGTCTTCTATCTTAAAATGTCTATACAGCTCCTTTCCTCATTTTCAAGTTATGTTATTTGCATGCTTTGCTATTAAGTTGCATGAGTTCCTTATCTAGACTCTTGCTTCAATTTAGGTCAGGAGACTACCACTCGCCATGCCCGATCTGCCCATCATGTGACCACTGGCTAAGGAATGAAGCCATGAAACCTTCAGAAATACTCCACTGCATGGAGCCCAAGCACCCTGCATTAAAAGACAAGGCTTGAGAATTTTTAAGAAGAAAAAAATGCAAACATCAGGAAGGGAACCTAATTTTGACTAATTTTATTTGTGTGTGTGTGTGTGTGTGTGTGTGTGTGTGTGTGTCCAGCTCAGCCCACCAGGGGGTGGGCTGGCTGGCATGTGGTGCTGGGGGATTGAACCACGGTCTCTGTGCTTTGCCGAGCCTGTTCCAAGTAGGTGCTTTAGACCACTGAGCCATCTCACCAGCCCCATGGGAACCTAATTTTGAAAGTCACTGCCTTATCAAATGTGTTCTTTTCTGAGACCATCACTCTAGTTGCCAACCAAACTGCTAAGGCTAAGAAGCCATTTATAATCGATAAGCAGTGGAGCCTACCTGCTGCTGAGGACATTTGCCACTGTGTTTGGGGAGAACTTGTGTTACTTCCCTCCCTTTTCAAAATACGTATGTGTTTGTGATACACAACACACTTCCCTGGGGAGCGATCCACTCACCAGTACATCTTCCCCCATTTCCTTCCACACTGCTGCCCCCTTTTCTTCTCTCCACTCACACCCACATCCTCTTCCATCACTGCAAAGTCCGTCTCACTGCTTCACCTTTTAACATGAAGTTCACTGGTCCAATTTAGGTATAGATAACAACCATAGTCATCACAGGGAATGCTGTGTGCAGGGAAAACCTGAGTGCTGTAATTATTGGTAGGAATATGAATTGGCACAGCCATTGTGTGTGATGTACCTTGATTTCTCTTCTTCCCCAACCCTCTCCCCTCCCTCCACTTCTCTTGCCCTCCGTGTTCACAAGGCTGTGTTTCCATATGAGCCTCTTTTTCTCATTATAGCTTTTCCCTTCCTTCCTTTCCCTCTCTTCCACCCCAGCTCCCTTTTCCTGTTAAACAGTCTCTTCCTGTTTCACAATATCTATAATATATTTTGATTATTTGCGCTTCCAGATTCTCAACCTGGAGATGCTTACACATATGTCCAATTGATCTCACTTATGATTACGGTCTCAAGGTCCATCTATTCAGCTATAAATGCTTCTTCACATTTATCCTTCTTTATGGTAGAGTAATACTCTATTGTATATAAAATCATATATTGGTACATGTTAGATTATGTTCATCATAAAGAATTTTTGTCCATACATCATATATTTTGATGCCTCTTATTCCCCCAACCTCCCAATTGCCTTCAACCCATTTCCCCTACCTATGTTTCCATTTAGCCTTTGTTTCTTTTTTCTTTTCTCTTCCTTCCTTTTTCCCTCTGCCCACCGTAGTTCTCCAGGGGTGGGGCCAGCATGGCGTGAAGCCCTGGGGATTGAACCCCAGTCCCTGTGCCTGCTTAAGCAGGCCCTTAATCTGTTGAGCTATCTAGTTGGCCATCCTGGAACATTTCTTGTAAGGCAAGTTCAGTGGTGGTGCACTTCCTTACACTTTAGTAGGGAACGTCATTGTCTCACCTTCATTTATGAAGGACAATCTCAATAGGAACCAGTATTCATGAGTGTTGGGCTTTTTATTATTTTATTGCAGAAATGGGGATTGAACTCAGACCCTTGCACTTGCCACAGAAGCGCTTATTCTACTGAGCCATCTCCCCAGCCCCT